AATGTATTGATAACCATAATCTGTTGTGTGTCACATAACTCATTAAGTATTTTAATTACTGTTTTTCATTTAATTCTGACTAGGCTATTTTCGTATAGATTTCATTGACTTTTTAAAAAATCTTTGGTTTTAAAAGTCTAGGAATATTAGAAATCACTTTAAGAATGGTTTATTTAAAAGAGTATTAAAATATAATAAGTCAAGGGCCGGGGATTTAGCTCAGTGGTTCCGCCGCCTACCTCGAAAGCACAAGGACCTGAGTTCGATCCCCAGTACCAAAAAAATATATATACTAAGTCTATAGAATTTTATAATATGATTACAAATAATATATAATTCTAAAAGATTATGAAACAGTTAAATTCATTAAACTTCTTAGAATTAAATGTAGGTGAGACGAGAACATCTAGTTAACTAGAAAGCATTTAGTAACACTTGCACAATGCTTCACAGCCACAATTCTTGTCTTCAAGAAGGTCATGATAGTGAGGAGCACAAATAGCAGAAGCTTGGAGTTATACAGGTGTCTGTTCTATTAAATTCTCCTTTCTCACAATGAGCTGTGTATGTATTTTACTGCACCTTCCCACTTGATGTTACAGTTGCTTAAGAAAAATGAGTTTGTGGGCCCGGGATCTAGCTCAGTGGTTCCACCACCTGCCTCGCAAGCACAAGGTCCAAGTTCGATCCCCAGTACAAAAAAAAAAAAGGAAAAATGAGTTTCACTTCACTTATAAGTATACTGTATACTTTTATATCCATTTTTAGAAAGTTTAGGCTTTGACTATAATTATAGTAACTTCAGCCTTGGGCTATCCCCCCCTTAACTAAATACAAATGATGAAATGTTTATTCTGATATTATTAGAGAAATTACATTCTTACACTCATTTAATAGACTGCTGGTACATTTTACTTCCTCATAAGCTTGACGTTATAGAATCTTAAATTTCAGGATGTCACTTGTAGAAATTGCCATTAGAGTCTGTCTACCCTTTTTTTGTATTTTGCAGCAGAAAATTAAAGCATTAGTTGTTGATAGTGTTGGTAAAATTTCGATTTAGTATTTTCTTATTTTATGATTACAAAAGTAAGACAACCTACTAGAAAACATTTGGAAAGTCTAGAAAAGTGTTTTTTAAAAGCTGTATTCATTCCCACTTAGTAGATATCCCTTCCAAGAGCACAGAGGATTCTCTGCCTGCTTCTGCTGGTTCCTAAAGTTTCAGGAATACTGATAGAAGCTGTAGCAATGAAAGCTGATAGTTTAAATCCTGAATCCAGAACTGTAGAATCTGTTATCAAAATAAAATAATCTTAATTTATAATATGCCATGTCTTTTTCTACACATGATTGTCTCCTGATAATGTTCTATATATAATTTTAAAATGAAAATACAGTATATACCTTTTTAAATAGCATAGTATTACATATTAAGGAAAGAGGGCAAAAACAAGTTTGTACTGTTGGCTGTGTTTTGTGTTTCTGGCTTTAGAGAAGATGTGGCATTCGTCATCCAGTCAGACCATGTCTCTACAGGGCTCTCTCTCTTCTAGATAATTTTGTCATAGGTGAGCAAAAGGGTCCTTTATATCCAGACCAATTCCCTCTGTCCAGGCCAGGGACTTAGCTCAGTAGCACCCAGCCTGCCTGGCAAGCACAAGGTCCTGAGTTTGATTCCCGGTACCAAAAAACAAACAGTAACAATTCCCTCTATCCTGGGGCACAGACAAACTAATTGATAGTAATAGATTGCAGTTTGGAATCATAAAAACTGAAAGGTTTTATAACCCTATATGAATTATTTTATCCAACGATACTACTTTAGAGATTTTTCTAAAGGCATAAAAGAGTGAAGTGATTTGCTAGTGACCACACATTGTGTTAGCAAACACTGCAGGAAAAAGTGCTACTTGGTGACACTTCCTGTACTTCACAAAAGGAACACTTGAAAGGAGCCAAGCATAACGGTTTTAGCCAGCACTGGTATCAGATAGTTACTTTTATCAACACTTATGACCTGAAGACTATATAACTAATCTGGTAGGAAAAGAAACTAAGGTGACCTAGAATAGCAAAAGCAATTTAGGCAATAGAGACATGGCAGGGGGTATCACAATCCCCAACTTGAAACTATGCTACAAAGCTACTGTGATAAAAACAGCATGGTACTGGCAAAGAAACAGACCTGAGGATCAGTGGAATAGATTAGAACATGCAGAAACAACTCCAGACATACTCAGCCACCTCATCTTTGACAGCCAAACACCCTCACTGGAGGAAAGATAGCCTCTTTAATAAATGGCATTGGACAAACTGGATTTCAGCCTGCCAAAGATTAAAACTAAACCCATATCTCTCACCATGCACTAAATTAAGATCAAAGTGGATTAAATATCTAAACATTAAAACAGCACTAAACTTGCTGAAAGATAGGTAGAATTCTTGAAGACATTGGCATAGGAAAAGACTTTATGAACAAAACCTCATTAGCATGGGAACTACCACAAAGAATCAACAACTGGGATCTCATCTTATTAAAAAGCTTCTGCACTGGAAGAGCTTTTAGCTCTCTTTAGCAGAGCTAAGAGACAACCTACAATATAGGAAAAAATTTTTAGCAGCTGTACCTCAAAGGACTACTATCTAGAATGTATAAAGAACTTAAAAAAATCAGACCCCCCAAATTCAAAGACCCAATTCAAAAATGGGCACCTGAAATGAATAGACATTTCTTAGACAAATAAGTAAAAGCAGCAAATAAATATATGAAAAAATGTTCAACATCACTGGCCATTCATGAGATGCAGATGAAAACAACACAGATTCCACCTCACCCCAGAAAGAAAGGCTGTTATCAAGAAATCAACCAATAACAAATGTTGGCAGGGTTGTGGGGAGAAAGCAACCCTTCTCCATTCTTGGTGGGAGTGCAGACTGGTGCAACCACTGTGGAAATCAGTATGGAGATACCTGAAAAAACTCGGACTAGAGGTCCCATTTGACCCACCTGGGTATCTTCTCCAAAAAATTAAAAATAATCAAGCACCAGGGGTTAGCTCAGTGGTTCCAGTGCCTGCCTTGCAAGTGCAAGGTCCTGAATTCAATCCCCGGTACAAAAAAAAAAAGAAAAGAAAGAAGAATTAAAAGTATCATACCACAGCGATACATGTGCACCCATGTTTATAGCAGCATAGTTTGTAATAGCTAAAGCTTGAAAACAGCCCAAGTGCCCATTAACTGGAAAATGGATAAAGAAGATGTGGGGGTTTTTTGGTTTGGTTTGGTTTGGTACCAGGGATCGAACTCGGGACCTTGCTCTTCCAAGGCAGGTCCCGGAACCACTGAGCTAAATCCCCGGCCCAAGTTGTGGTTTTTTTATAAAATGGAGTGCTACTCAGCCACAAAGAATAGAGACATTTATAGCTAAATGGATGCATATTGAGGCCATACTCTTAAGTGAAATAAATAGGACACACATGTAAATACAGAATAGTTTCTCTGGTGTGAGAACTGAAAATGTAAATAAGAATTAAAATGATTAAAACAAATAATTGATAATTTGAAATAGGAAGAAAAGGTCCAAAGGCATAGGGGAAGTGGGAGGGGAAGGGCAAAGGAAAGAAGAGAAAGGAAAAATTGTGAGAAAAGAAAAAAATGGAAACAAAGTCTATGTAAATAGGGAAGGGGTGAAGGGAGGACAGGGAATGGGGAAAAAATAGGAACCAAGATACATCATGTACAGGTAGAAGTACCCAATGATAAATGTAAATGTATTGTATACCTAAAATGTACCAATAAAAGAATTTAAGGGAAAAAGAAAAACTAAGGTGAAGGGGAAAAAAAAACTATTAATAAGAGAACGTGTGTTACTGAAATATACAGTGGTACCTTGGTTCATGAACTTCTGGTCACAAACCAAATTGGATGAGAACCAAATTAAATTCAATGGTTAGTTTCAACGTTGACCTTATGGGCAAATTTGATTCAGTCCCATTCAATTCAGTTTATGACCAGAATTGTGGAAAGAATTAAGTTCATGAACCAAGGTGCCACTGTATATAGAACTTACAGTGTATTTTCCCAGCAGCATTTAATTTAGTTATTCTTTTCTTTTTTGAATAAATCCATATGTAATAAACTGTGATTTAAACCATATTCCTGATAAGTCTGTCACAATAATGTAATGAAAAATAAAAGGATATGAGTTTCAACCAGATGTTCTTTATATAATCTGTAAATTTCAAGAAACAATGCTTTTCAGACCTTTTTCAAATTTTATTAATTCAGGATGGGAAGAAGGAATTAAGAAGTAGGGTTATGAGAAGGTGTATCTTTTTTTTCGTGGTAAGAAAACTAAAGGATGGATCACAGCAGATTTTAGTGATTATGCCAAAGCTAAAAGTAAAATTTTACTTATTTCTATAACAGTTCTTTATAATCAACAGTATAATTACTGAAAGTGGCTAAAGATATAATTTGTTTCCTACTTGTATCAAATATACATAGCCAAGCCGGGGATTTAGCTCAGTGGTTCCGGTGCCTGCCTCACAAGTGCAAGGTCTCGAGAGTTCGATCCCCAGTACCGAAAAAACAAAACAAAAACAAATATACATAGCCAATAAAGCCCACAGTATAAATCTGCATTATCTGCTATGCCAGCCAAGGTACATGTCACTGGAAAAAGATGAATTTATACTGTAGGCAGAATAATAATTTCAGACTTAGATTAACTTTTATGATGGTAGTAGTAGGAGTTCTGATTTCTTAATTAAACAGCATTAACAACCACTATGATAATTAAGAATTGGTATTCTTCATTCTTTAATCAGTGGTTACAAAAACCCAGGAAATGTGTATTCTATTTGTATTATGTGTGCATCTCTTTTTATAATGTATATGACATATATGTAGGATACATATATATATTTTGTAATACTCTGACTTTATATAAAATTCATTTGTAGAGATAAACTCTAGATGTATAAAAAAGTTTTTACATTTATTATTTTGGTACTGTTGCAATAGGTGAAACTTCAAATTTGACAGGAAGTCTTATAATAAAACCAGATGTTTAGTTTACTGTATATAATACACAAAATAAGAGTCTGTTATAGAATTTTGAATATTCACCGTACTAAACACAACAGAGACATTTTCATCTTGCACAGAAAAATAATAAAATAATGCAATTATTCATTGATTTCCCATCTGCCATAACAGAAGGATACTGTGTTCTTTAAATGAGTTAGTGTCTTGTTGAAGGCAGTCGCCACATAGTCTTGCAAAATAGTTCTATTTACTTTGTGACCATAAGTAATGTATAGGCCCAAGCTTTGGTTTCCAGTCTGTAAAAGAAAGGAAAAAGATCTCAGAACAATTAGATTTATTTCAACCTGTTGATTTGAGAAGTTCTGAAAGTTAATTCATGTTTTCCAGTTGGCACTTATCAGAATATCAGTGAATGTTTGCCAAAAAGATGTTTGATAACCTTTTTGTAGGATAATTTCACTATATACATTAAAAGCTTTAAGACTGGAACCAGAAATTCTGTTTCTATGAATTTATCCCAAGGAAAATGTCAGAAGTATGCCAGAGGTCTCTGTATAAATGCTCTAAGATTATATAGATAATCTTCCCAATGGTATTTTAAAAGAAAAGTTGGCACATGAAGTAGGGAAGAACTTAAATGTTCTAATAAGGAGAATGGTAAATACAGTGGAAAACCTTGCAGTTATGTGGGAAAAGTTTGATTTTAGTTAAGCTTCCACCCCCCAAAAAGCAGACAACAAAATTGTATAGTATGAGTTCATTTCATAATTTTTTCAAGTATACATATGTATTAGTCTGCTCACACTTCCACAACAAGATACTGCAGACTGGGGCCAGGATTTAGCTCAGTGACACCACACTTGTCTCGCAAGTACAAGGTCCTGAGTTCGATCCCCAGTACCAAAAAAAAAAGATAATGCAGACTGGATGGCTTGAACAGCAGCAGTTTCTTTCTCACAGTTCTGGAGGCTAGAAAGTCCAAAGTCAAGGTGCTGGGAAGGTCAGTTTCCTGAAGACGCCTCCTGTCTTGACTTGTAGGGGCTGTCTCTCAGTATGTGCTCATAGGACCTCTCTCCTTGTGCCTGCACAAAGACCTCTCCTTTCAGGGAGTCACTAATCCTACGAGACCTTATGATCTTGTTTAACCTAAAGCTCCCTGTCCAGATATGTCACAGTGGGATAAGGGTTCCACATGGAAATTTGGAGAGTACCCAAACATTCAGTCCAAACCAATGCAGGAAAAAAGAAAATGTTTTTCTCTCTGCTCTCACACAGTCACTACAACATACAGTACTTCACCTCTGGTTACCAAACTGTGTGGAAATTTCTCCATACACACCAGCCAGTCATTTCTGATGCTTTATATCTGGAGATCCTGGTTATATGATTGATGCTATTGTTTGAAGTCTTAGTCCGGTAAGGTTGCCTGCATCAGGTGCTGATTGCAAGTGCCAGGTGTAACTGTGTTCTAACTGACTAGAGGCACCCATGACAGCTGCCTCAGGTGTGATTCATTTTTTAAGGCAGCTCAAACAACTTGGAAGCATTTTACTTGTATTTACATATTTATTGTAATGGACATTACACAGGATCTGGCTCAACAGCCAGAGTAAGAGATGCATTGGACTAGGTACAGAGGGGAGGCTCAGACCTCTTTGCTCCTCTGGGCTTGACCCCCACCAGTTACCTCCATGTGTTCAGATCTGAACCCAGTCCTTTCAGGTTTTTATGAAAGCCTCCTGTAGGCGTGATCAATTAAATCATCTGCCGTCGGTGATCAGCCCAGCCTTTAGCTCCTCTCCAGTCTCTAAAAGTCGAGAGGTGGCCTTTAAAGTCCCACCCTCTAATCTTGTCTTGGTGTTTCTCCTGATCAGCCCCAGCCACTAGTCATTTTATTAACGTAAAAAAGGCATTCTTACCACTCCTGCTATTCCCAGTGTTTTGTGAACTGCTTGCCAGGAACTTGTATGAGAGACCAAATACAGTTGGCCCTCCATATCTGAATCTGCATTTATTGATTCAATGAACTGTAGATCAAAACTATTTTTAAAGCCAGGCATGACAGTACATGCTTGTAATCCCAACTTCTCAGGAGGCTGAGGCAAGAGAATTGTAAGTATAAAGCCAATCTGGGCAATTTAGATCCTGTCTTAAAAAAATTAAAAGAGCCCACTGCAGACAGGCACGTCTGCCCACACCTCACCGAAGTCCCCAGTTGCACAGAACACATGCCAAATCAGCCCAGTGCAGACAGGCAGCCACCTGATTCCACACTACAAAGACACAGAGGACACCAGACCACCAGGCCAAGGTACTGAGTCCCACTGTTCCCGGCCCAGAGGAAGGGGCTTCTGAGCCATCGTCCCTCTGCTCCTGGTCCAGAAGAAGGGGCTTCCCGGTCACCATCCCTCCTGCTGCTCCCAGCCCAGAGGAAAGGGCTTTTGGGCCACCTTCTGTCCCACTGCTCCTGGCCGAGAGGAAGGGGCTTCTGAGCCAACATCCCACTGCTCCTGGTCCAGAGGAAGGGCTTTCCCAGCCACCATCCCTCCGGCTGCTCCCAGCCCACAGGAAAGGGCGTTTGGGTCACCAGCCCTATAGCTACTCGCAGCCCCTGTCCCACCTCACCCAGCTCAGAGGAGGTAATCTGTGCAGGCACGAACAGCCCCCCACCCCAGTCGAAATGAGAAAACAGGTAAATAAGTCTCAAAACCAGACTTCCAAATCACCTACAGCAACCCCAAAGGGAAATGAGATGGAACACTCTGATACTCAACCACCTGGACCCACTGAACTGGCAAC